GAACCGCGGTTGACTACGTGGGAGTCCAGCGACATAGCCATTACGCTACCTGCTGGTCCCCTGTGGGCTCATTTTTATGAATGACCTGAACAGGCAGATTCACAGACCCAGAGAGTAGATTAGTGGCTGCCAGGGTTGTGGGGAGAAGGAGTGGGTAATCTTTCTGGGGTGATGGAAATACTCTAGAATTAAATAGCTGTGATGGTATCGTAACCTCTGGAATATATTAAAATCCACTGTCTAGTTTAACATGGTGAATTTTATGATTTATGACTTGTATCTTAATTTTTGTTAAATAAATAAATAAATAAATAAATAAAAAGAATGAATGAAGAACACTTCCGTCATTCTCCCCATCACTGCTGTCACATGGCTACTGGTTCATGGGGACCCACAGGGCCTCTGGTTCTCCACTGCCCAGCTCAGCCTCTGACCTTTGGTTTCCAAGTCTCATTTGTGGTCTTCCAGTGGCTCAGAGTGTGTGGAGTCACTTGCTTCTGCTCTGGGTTCATCTTTTTTTTGAGAGGTTTTTGTTATAGGGCTCATGCGCTCACCAGAAAGACAGAGAGAGACAGACAGAAAGCGAGAAATCACCCCCCAGGGGGATGGCCACACCACATTTCTTTCTCCTCCATTCTTACCTTTGCCCTGACAGATGAGATGAGAGTTTGCTAGTTGAACTAGGGTCTTACCCTAGAGGAAAGTAACAAGTGTGACAAATCAGTGGTTGTGGGACCAGCAGTTAGCATAACGACTATGTTGCTGAACTCCCATGTAGTCAACTGCGGTTCGAGTCCTGGACCCAGTGGCTTAAACTCATGCCGGGCATGTGTGCGTGCGTGCCCAAGATCCCGAGAGGAGAAGGGATTGCGGTGTGGCCATCCCCACTGGGGGGGTGTGGGGGTGATTTCTCACTTTCTATCTCTCTGTCTCTCTCTGTCTTTCTGGCAAGCACACACGCCCTATAGCAAAACCCTCTCCAAAAAAATAAAATAAAATAAAATAAAAAAATCAGTGGTTGTATTTTATTTTATGTAGGAAGCCGAAAACTGGAATATTAATGCTGAACATGGGAGGCCCTGAAACCCTTGGAGACGTTCATGACTTCCTTTTGAGGCTCTTCTTGGATCGAGACCTCATGACACTTCCTATTCAAAAGTAAGACGTGTTTAAGCCCCTGGGCTTTTAAAATAATATATGCAGTGCCTTTTGCTTTACCTGTATTGCAACTCTAGCGTTTAAGGAAAACCAAGTTTTACTGCATACTGGTAGTGGTTAGGGCAGCAGAGTTGTTTTCTGTTGATTATTAGAAGGATCTGACGGTGGAAGAGTTGCAGGGGAAAGAGAAAGCAAGGTAGCGAAGATTCTCTTTGAGCCCTTTCCTCCCCAGAGCCCCGGACGTTGTTGTCTTGACACAGGCAAAGGGCTCTTAGATTTCTGAAGATACATTTGTACCGGCACTTAATGGCTGATTAACACAGGGAGGCAATGATGATTATTCATTTGTGCTCTGAATAAGGATTATCACTGTCCTTTTCTTCTTCTCATCCTTCTTTCCTCTCTTATTTTCTTCCAACGTCACTTATTATCATGAAAAATTAATCCATACGAATCACAGAAAATGCAACTAGTGTAAAAGTATTTATAGAAAAAGCAAGTGTCTCTTTCACCTTGAACTCTAGACTCCTGGTTACTCACCCAGAGGTAAGCACTTTGGTGTCCAGAAATAGTCCAGGCACACACACACACACACACACACACACCATGAATAAATAATTATCCTGTCCCCCACTTTGTTACACAGAGGTGAATGTGCTTATGTGCATCATTTGGCACTTTGATGTATGTGTGTTTTAACCTAACACTTGTATCTTGTTTAATAATAGATAATATAGACCTAGGTAATTTTATTCATGGTTATTTAGAAGTGCCTTATATGGATGTAGCTTATTTTATTTAACCCATGCTTTATTATTATTATCATTCAATTTGGCCAGACAGAGAGAGAGAAAAGGAGAGTGAGAAAGCAAGCTGCCAGGTCCAGGACTCACACCATGGTCGGCCATGTGAGAGTCCAGCACCTTAAACACCATGCCACCTGCTGGCCCTGACGTTAGGTTTCTTAAAATGATGCAGTCAACATTTTTGTTCATATATCTTTGCTTATCTATGCAAGTATATATATAGGATAAATATTCATCTTTTTAAAAAAGAATTACTTTACTTATTATTATTATTTTTTAACCAGAGAGAGAAGTGAGAAGGCAAGCTGCCAGGTCCAGGACTCAAACCACAGTTGTCCATTGGGAGTCTAGCACCTTAACTACCATGCCACCTACTGGCCCCTATATCTCTTTTAAGTTACGAGGAACATATGTTTCGATGTTTGATATGCTAGTTCTTTTAGGTGCAGGATCAAGCCTGTGCAGATAGTAGCTAGCATGCATCTGGAGTTCTCTGTGCAATGTCGGTACCCTGGATCTTTTGGGTGTGTTGTTGGAACACCTCACAGAGCAGAGATGCGTATTCTTCAGGACGTGTAGCTTTAGTTCTCTAATCTGCACCAAAAGTGCCGGTTGTTTTCAGTAACTCCAAGCTTTTGTTCTTAAAGTCTCAAACTTATTTGTTATTTCTTAAAGTTTTGTTTCTCTCTCTCTCTCTTTTTTTTTTAATTGAGTAGAAAATCTTTCTCAGGTCATTAAAGTAGATTAAAACCCACTTATCTACATGTTCAATGATTTAGTAAATTGGCACCATTCATCGCCAAACGTCGAACCCCCAAAATTCAAGAGCAGTACCGCAGGATCGGAGGTGGATCTCCCATCAAGATGTGGACTTCCAAGCAAGGAGAAGGCATGGTGAGACTGCTGGATGAGCTGTCTCCCCGCACAGGTAAGGTGTTTCTTCACTGGGTTTGTTCTTTCAAAGTTGAGAAATTCAAGAGCGTTGAGTGGCAAATGCTGTTGCATGGACAAGTAACATTGGATTCATGGGCGTTTCTACAGAAAACACAGTCACTCAACTCTATTCTGGAGGCATTATCCTTTGGCTGTATAGTCTTTCCCATCACTTCCAATGTTACAATGAAAATGCTAAAGATTTGGAACATTAGTTTCAAAAGGAAGTTCAACAGGGTCAAGCTGAGCTAGATCTTAAAATGTGTAGCTTGAAATGACATACCATGAATAAAAAATGCAGGTATCATTGCACTGCAAAGAAATCTTTGGGAAATGTCTTGAGGCTTCTGCTGTTGCCTTTCTTTCTGGTTGGATAGCTGATGAGATCAACATTTAGAGCAGAGCTAGCTAGCTGTCAAACTGAAGCCAGCAGACACTAAGCAACTCTCAGTGACTGCTCTCAGCTCTGGGCAGCAGCACCACGGTAAGGTACTGAAGTGCTGTGTTGGACGCAGCACTGAGAGGATTGTCTGCACCTGATACCTAACCTCTGAGCCCCTCTGTGTGTAATAATGTGCAGAATGAAACTCTACCTATACGATGAACTACAGGTGCGTGTTTAGTTGTGTCTAAGACACAGTTGATTTGTGGGACACATTTTTTTTAAAGGTTTTTGCCCTAGGGTGTGTACACTTGCTGGAGAGAGAGAGATAGAAGAAGGGAAAGTGGTAAATCACCTCCGTGGGAGATAGCCTTAGCAATCCCTTCTCTTCCAGTTTCCTCTTAGGATTTTGGGCATGCACACACATGCACTCAGTGTGATTTTCAAGCTGCCGGGTCCAGGACTTGAAGTGTGTACTTGATCTACATCACATGCTGTTCCCTATCAATTAATTTTAAGATTTCATCTATTGTAGATGTGAACCAATATAAGAAACATTAAAATTATTTAGATGTGCATCTTTAAGACACAAGAAATATGAGTTGTTGGGAAAGTCATGACACGTTTTTGCATAGAAAAATATGTCATGACTTTCCAGACAACCTGATCTGTTCATTGCACATCATCTCAGCAGGCCTGCTTTCGGTATATGGTAGTGGTATCAAGCAAGGCCCAGGATCGTCATTCACTCATTCTGGAGCAGCCCATAGAATGTCTCGCAGCTGTTCAGTGCTACGATTGTCAGTCAGAAATCATGATTCTACTTGCAAGAAGCTTCCAGCTTAGCAAGACCTCGCTTATTTCAGGCCAGTCTGCTTAAGGGAGAAAGAAAGATCTCAGAGAGTCATTAGAGAGGTGGTTCACGAAGCGCATGTGTGAGCTGACCTCTTAAAAAAAAAGGAAAATGGGGATGGTAATAGAACCCTACTCCTAGGAAATTAATTGAGAGACTCCTGAAAGCCATTAGCGTGGTATATGTACATGACGAAATTTCGTGAATGTGAGCTTTTATTGTATTCATTATTGACAAAGGATTTATTATCTGATACAAATTAGAAGGCATTATGCAATGTATTTCAAATCTTTCGAAGATTTATACAAGTCAGATATGTAAACTGTTGTACATACTAGATTATGAAGGTCAGTGTTTAAAAATTAAGCTTCTTTGGGCTGGCAGGTGGCATGGTGGTTAAAGACTCTGGACTCCCACACGGCCAACCATGGTTCAAGTCCTGGACCTGGTGGCTTCCTTTCTCATTTTTCCTCTCTCCTCTGTCTCTCTCTGCTCAAATTGGGAAATAATAATAAATAAAGTTCAAATAAAATATATTTTTTTTGGAGAAGTTTTTGCTATAAGGTGCGTGCACTCACCAGAAAGACAGAGAGAGACAGAGAGACAGAAAGCGAGAAATCACCCTCCAAGGGGGGATGGCCATGCTGCAATCTCTTCTCCTCCATTCTCCTTTCGGGATCTTGGGTATGCATGCATACGCACCTGGCGTGAATTTAAGCCACTGGGTCCAGGGCTTGAACTGTGGTCAGCTACATGGGAGTCCAGTGACATAGCCATTACGCTAACTGCTCGTCCCCAAATAAAATAATTCTTAAAAGAGAGAGAGAGAGAGAGAGA